GGAGTGGAGCCAGTATGGCAGAAGCTAAATCTGCAGGATTTGACATACTTCTCCTGTGATCCTTCAATGCCACTCAGCAATGGTCTGATTTAGGTGAAGGTCATATACTACGGATGTGAAGGATTAGTGGACTAGTCGATAAGCAAATGCTTATCAGAGAGTCGACAGAATAGTCGTCTAGTCGCTTCCCCTACCTTGCTGCCTCTATCAGATAGAGGCAGTAGGGGGAGAGAATAGGAGGGTATTTCAAAGCGGCAGCGCCACATGGAGCCCAGGGTCAGCTGCTCCACGTGGCATTGCTGCTTTGAATGCCGCAGGGAACCCGGTGTCAGGCTCCTTGCGGCATTTCAAATCAGCAGTGCCGTGTGGAGCCCAGGATCAACTGACCCCAGGTTCTATGCGGCACTGCTGCTTTGAAATGCCGCGTGGAGCCCGGGATCAGCCCTAGCTAGGGCTGTTGCTACACTTCAAAGGTGGAGGCGCCCTATCGACTAATCGAATAGTCGATGCAAAAATGCATCGACTATTCGGTTAGTCAGTTACCCCATACTTAACATCCTTATCACGTATCTCATTGGTGCTCCATCTGCTGCTCTGTTTCCAAACAGACTCCAAAAGGTTAGGGTTCACCACCTAAAGTTTTTTTCATCTAGAGTACACCATAAAAGCCATCTCAGATATGGAGGAGGAGGAAGTATCTAAGGCTCAGTCCTCCCACCGGTCCTCCTTAGTGCATACCATGAGTCCATTCCAAATTGTAATGCTGAGATGTCCCTGAAAAAGGAAAATCACTCAAGAAATGAGGCATTAAGTTTCCTCTCAAGACTGTTAGAGCTGACACAAAAATCAGCCTAAAATTTGTCTCAAGCTTAGCAACCAATGGTCTTGGAGTTTGTCTAAATGGCACATTACTATGTCACAAGCCAAGGTGTGAACCCTCAGTATAACATCCTGTTACATCCCGTGTGGACACTGCTGCAGTGCAGTGAAAGACCTGGAGTGTGATTTGGCATTACAAGTAATCTTCACATACTTGATGCAGTAAGAGCTTTATACAGTAAAACTCCAACTGTCCGGCACTCCTGATATTCTGGCACCCACTGGAACCCGGAAGTGCTCCGGCCAGCCGGACAATTGGAGCTGCTCTGCCCCCGGCTTCCCCAAGTCAGCCGCTGCTGAAACTGCTCAGTTTCAGCAGCAGTGGACTTGGAGAAGCCGGGGGCCGAGCAGCTCCAATTGTCTGGCTGACCGCAGCACTTCCGGGTTCCCGTTGGAGCCAGACTATCA